CAAGCCAGGCATGGAACACCTGTCTCCTCAGTGCAAGAGCACCTGATCCCAATTTCCCCACCGGGAACCACCAAGTCACTCCACAGCCCTACGTGGGGACAGTGACCTGCCAGGGGACCCCAGAGAAGGTGTTGAACACAACTCCAGGAGGGGGAATGGGGGGAAGCACTCGGAGCTGTCCAGTCCCAGCGCGGTTCCCCCATGCTCACTCGGTCAGGACAAGCTGGGGGGAGCTGGCTGCAGGCAGAGGGTCAGTCTGAAGTGCTGTGGCTGTGTGGCCAGAGCACGGGAGGGTTGCTGTGGGATGGAGAGGGATTTCTATCCATGGAAGCGGAGTGAGGTGAAGGAAAAAAGCAAAAGGCCCTCCGCATCAGGCCAGCGGCCGGAGCCGCGGGACCCCCGTCGCGGGACCCCCTCCCGGGAACCCCCTCCCTGGGACCGCAGCCCCAGGTCGCGTCTGGCGGTCAGCACCGGGGACAGCTCCGCGCCCGGCGGTCAGCACCGCGCACAGCTCCCGTAGCCGCCCCGCCGCTGCCCCCGGTACCGGCAGCCCCCGGCCAGCTGAGCCCCTTCCCAGGGGATGCACCCTAACCCAAACTCTTCCGCACCCGGTTACCCAGCCAGCTCCCCGTGCCCCATAACCTGCTCCTCGCCTCACATACTCCCGCCGATATCCCTCCCCGCACATCCCGACGCCCGACTGGGCGCACTCGCCCATCTCTATAGGTCGTCCATCCCTGCTGCCCCCTGAACGCACACAGCCCTCTACCCTACATCTGCAGCCCCCTGGGCCCGCTCACTGCCCACGCACACGCCTCCCTCCCAGGGTGTTCCACCGCCTGGGCACTGCACGCGTTCTCCTGGCACGCACACCTCTGTGCCCCACTGCACATCTGACTCTGTGCCCCACTGCACGGGTGCCCCGTGCCCCACGGGGTATGTTTACCGCCGTGCTGTCCCACGGCACGCACACCCACACACCCCATTCCATAGGCAGCCCGAACCCTTTACACAAGCATCTCCATACCCCGTTATGCAAACACCCCCCCTCCCGCACACACATCTCCACGCCCATCACACCCACCTCGCGCCCCACGGCATGTGCACCCCCTGCCCCATGGCATACACCC